CCCATTTTCCGCGCAGACAAAACACCGAAAATCCCGTTCCTCGGTCTTTCTTTGCTTCCAAACCCCACGGAAACGCTTGCTACGCAGGCTAAACACTACCAGGCGTATAGTCCCCAATGAAAATGCAACCTTCGAGGATAATACTGCGTCTCTATTTAACAGTCTTCCAAACCATATTAAGACTTGTAGTGATTATTACATTTTTAACTGTAAATTACATAAATTCTTAACATTGCCTGCTTTATCTTAATTAAATGAAAATTCTTTTAAATATTTCTACGAGACACATCACCTTTTATACATTTTAACTATAATATTTTCAACTTTGTCGATACATTTAGTGTCTACACGTAATCACCCTTTCTTCTATTTATTCGTTCGTCAGATTTAGTCATAGTGGGTTTTGTAATTTATTAATTAGTAATAGAGGAGCAGTCATTTTTTTTGTGTGGATACTCTGTTAATAAACCATTATTATTATTATTATCATCATCATCATTATTATTATTATTTCTTAAATAGTCGCTTTTTGTTCGTCAGAGGACTTTTGTACGTTGAAGAATGAGCCAACAAAAGCAAAAACAGAACAAAACTACGGTAAACACGCAGCGGAATCAGAACCCAAGTCGGGCCGTCAGCTGACAAGGGGAGTGCTAGGAAGGTTTTTTTGACACATAACTGGGTACGACGTTAAATAGTCACCGTCGTCACATGCGCGTCTGACGTTGAAAAATATAGAACGACAATGGAACAAACTATTACAAGAAACTTGACTCCGTCTGAGTAATTCAATGGGCTGCAAAATTATATATACCTCGTTCTTTTTATCGTCGATCTCGTCGCTCGAGTTGCAACGTTGCTGAGATTGGTCTGGCTGCACCCAAATTACAGATTGACCTATAAAAAATGATAAGAATTCATCAGTGCTTAGCTTATAACCCGAGGCAGACCTTTGTCGCTACAAGCTACAAGCACTTTGCAATGCCTCAAAGGTGTCTTGGAACTGATTTTTAAGCACATGCTGACAGCACCGTAGTTTTACTTGAAAGGCGCTTCACGCTTCTGCTTAAGCGTCTAGGCTTATATAAACAATAGTCAAAGGTTTGTAAGGGTAGTGTTTGTTGCATTGAGACACTAGTACAATTAACAAGGCTTGAAGGTTTTTAATGAAAACCTCACCCTCATCTACTCCAGATACCATATCAAAGTACTCCTCCTCGCCATCATCAATTCCATGCTCGTCAGCGTCTTCGCACTCTTGTTCATCGTCGTCACCATCGTAATCGTCGGAAGAAAGTCTCTCATTTTCTTGATCCTCTGCTGACTCAAGACTATCTTGACTGGCCTCGTCTTCCTGTCCCCCTTCTGCGACAAGAAAATTTGAAGGCACCCATCCTACATCATCGTCAATGCAGACCATCCACCATCCATTAGGAGCTTTAGTGAGCACTTCAACTTCATCTCCTTCGTACACCGTCATCTCGCCATCTCCACTGGCTTGATAAGTACAAACAGCAAAGTAATTGTCAGTATCTGTTCCCCTACAAATTATTGAATGATAACTTTCTTGTTCTTCTTCAGCAAGCACTCTGTCGTCAAGCCCTTCTTTCTTTGCTTCCGTATTGCCTATACCATGTTTTTCAGTTTTGCTGTCTCGTTCTCGTTTAGTTTGTCCGAGGTGGACGCTCTCCTCGGTGTAGTAACAGACCCTGTCGCTCCCGGCTTGTTGTTCTTGCTGTTTATTTTCTCCCCGTTTCTGGTGTTTCGTTACGCACTTGCTTTCGTCAAATGCGTTTGGTATCCCCTCTTCCGTTGGAAATTGATTATCTTCTTGTCCGCTTGTCTTTATCGTTTGTCCCAGCTGATTGAATTCGTTAGCTACATATTCACTTCCACCAAGAGCCTGAACATTCGCTGGTATGGAGCCCAGTTTCCTTGATAAGTGAGGTGAGTGTTCTATATCACTAACTGGTGGTGTGATGCAAATTGATGGCAGTGAAGCTCTCGATTCCCGCCCGCTTAACGAATTTTCTTTCTCAGTGTCTTTTAATTTACCCGCAAGTGATCTTGAAGAGTCAAGACTTTTCGAAAAGGCTTTTAGTCGCAGCAATGGTGCAGGGACATTTTTCGATGACTCACTTTCTGCCGAATTCGTTTTTCCAAAAAATTCCTTGAGGTTGCTGGAGAAACTGGAAGAGCGATTCCGCTTCTTTGCCTCCTCGGCCAAGCGCTCTTCTTCTTTACGAATTGCTAATCGAAGATCAAGTTCCGAGATAGATAGTCCGCGGTCTGGAAGCGCGTCCCTAAGATCTCTATTGGAACAACGCATGCTCTGTGATCGATGACTTGATAAGGTGCTGCTCTGGCTCTCTGTCCTCAATGGAGGTACTCCAAGCTGTAAAAGAGTTAAACAAAAATATCTCTTACCTTACTTTCGATACCTTTTAGCTACGTCTAAGGCCCTGCTCTTGCAATTCTGCCATTCTTTCTGTAGTTCTTTTTCACTACACTAATCCCTTTTCAAAATTTTCTCTAGGATTAGTTTGTAAGGTGGTGTTAGATTTACGCTTTCCACTTACATCCATTGCCTCCTCCAGACAGCGATCTCCTAGAATAACATTCACCTCTTTCCCCTCCCCATCCCTTTCAAATTGTGAATGTAATATTCAAAAACTTGTATAGAATTAAGCATTTTTATATGTGATCACCGATTGTTTATCACTTGGCAGTTACCACATTAGTCTACGACCCGACTGCCCACACGGTGAGTCTCATGACTTCAA